AGTCACGACAGAACATAAATATATATAGCAAATAATTAGATATAAAGAAAAGCTTCTAAATATTGGTTTACTAACTCTAATTATTTTTACTTAAGTTGCCATTCTTTAAACTCGTTATACTTTTTTCTGCTTTAAATACTAATTAAAATTAAAAAGCCCACTCACTAAACATCATCAGCAATATTGTGAAGCAGTTTTGCTTCCTCGTCATAAAGTATTTTTAACCTTTTTAGTTGATTTATATCTTTTTAATTTAATTTCTATAGTAATTCAATGATTTAATTATTTCATTTGTTTATCTTACTAAGAAGAATTGCTTCAAATATGTTAAACTTTTCAAACTACGCGAAACATAAAATAGGTATTAAAAAAATATATTATAAATATTATAATAAATAAATATTAAGAAAATATTTGTTCTAAACGTAATTTATTTAGCTTTAAGTTTTTTTGCGTTTAAAAATATTTTAATTGCCTAATTTTTTTTGTAATTGTCTCTCATCGGTCCAAATAATCTTTGCGCTTTTTTTTTTTACTTTATTAAATGTTCTCAAAACGACTAAAAAATCTGGCCAGCTTTTCGCAACTAAATATTATTTACGTGGTCAGCAATCGAGAACGATCGCTCTCGCTTCCTGACCAAGAAACATTCCAGAAATTTTGCATGTTTAAACCTTTTTTAATTTATTCTTATTCCACTGGCTTTTATTCTACCTTTTTATTTTAATAGAAATGAAATTTCATGTAGATATCAAAAATGTGCACAAGGCATACATTTTAATATCACGTAAAAATTAAGTTAATTAAAATTAACACAAGTAAAGATGCATATGAAAATTTATTCTTGCATTGTTTAAAGTTTTTAGTTTATTACTCACTGACTTTTTAAAAATATAAAACAGTTATTATTTACAAAACGGCAAATAGTGGAAAAAGAAAACAAAATTAAGTTTAGTATATTTTTATTCATTCAGTTATAGAAATATCACTACTGTTTTAAATAATGAGAAAATAAACAAACTATTTTATATTTTAAAGAACCGGAATTAAAATTATCTTTTTTTTTTTTCATATGTACATTTATATATACAGAGAGAGAGAGCTATTAATTATGAAGAGAGCTATTGAGAGAGAGAGAAAGCAGGAGAATAAATTGAAGCCAGAAAGTGTAGACAGATATTGCTCAGAAAGCACAAACTATACACATAGTTAGCTTAAGCTAATTATTGCATGTAATAGATTAAACTATTTCATGAGAAAGGTTGACATTTTGTATACATTTTATGTTATTCACCTCCTCAAGACCGAGAAGGCCACTACAGATGAGAATGCTACTTAATAGTAGTTATAACCCTCTCTCAACTCTATAACTCTGAAACACGAACCTTGACAAACAAGGTCGCTGCGCAGAGAAACAAAGTGAGCGCGGTACTACCAGGAACGTGGTGGGGATCGAACTCGGAACCTCTCGCTTATGAAGCGAGTGTTTTACCACTACACCACTACCGTGTCTCTCTAGTATTACACTTGTATTATTGACCAATAAAAAAACGTAATGTAACAAAATCAAAACCAAAATGTAACTTTGCAAATTGAAACTTTTTTTTTTTTACAGTTAAAATAAACGATGATAATTAGCAATTTTAAAAAATTTATTACAAATGTCTTGACAAACGCATTGTTAAATACCATAACTGATGAGTTACAGCATTTAACAGAATTGTTTTATTTACAATATTATTTATATATTTGATTATTGATAACGCAATAACATGTTTGTCAAAACTATCGTAATTAAAAAAATCTAAAAAAAAAGAAAGTACATTTAAAAGTTAAAATAACTTACAGTATTTAGGCAACCTAAGGTACTTATTACCTTTAAAAGTATAACCAACCGAGACATAGCATAACATAAAACATTTAAGAATTGAAACTTAATTAAAATATGTTACAAATATATTTTTATTTTACAATATATTGCGTCATTTTTTTTTTTTTTTTTAAAGTGTAACTAATTAAGACATAACGTAACGCTAAAAAAATCTGTTTGAGACGTATTTTAGTTACGTCTCAAATCTAGATTGAGTTACGTTATGTTACGTCTCGATTGGTTACAGTTTATAAAGTTATAAAAAAAACAATTGAGAAGTAACGTTGCGTACAAACACTTGTGACAAAGTAACCAACTGAAATAAAGCTATTTTACAATAAAATTAAAATAAAAGATAGTATATAGCATTACAGTAATAGTAAACAATTACTGCATTATCAAGTTTATTTACTTAATATTTGATGAAAAAATTGAGAATGTAACCTTGTTACTAATTGTAACCGATAGAGATGTTATGTAATTTTTAGCAAAAATTATACTTAGTTTGATTTAAAGTTATTTTTACTTGTTTTTTATAACAAAACAAATTTTATTATATATTAAGTTACATGGTTTGTTTTAACAGTATTAACGTTTTTAATTTTTAGTTAGAACATTCTGTAACTATTTAAATATGTTGTTTTTTTTTGTATATTTTTAATTCAATTAAAATTTTAAGACAATTGAGTCTTAAGGGTGCTATTTTTAAATAAAAATAGCACCCTTAAGACTCAATTGTCTCAGTAAATGCCTTGTTTATCCAATTTGTTCAAATTTATTGACTTTTGGAGTTTTGGCAAATTCATGATTTTTGGAGGTAAAATGAAGACTGTGGCCCAAAATCTCAAGTAAAAAGTTTAATTGTATATCATTATTTTATCTTAGGTCTACTGAAAAAAAAAATTAGATTCATCAATTGTCTCTCTAATACTTGATTAAAATTTGCGTTTAAAAATTGTCTTTTTAGAAAAATTTAAATTTTGTAACGAAAGCAATTGAAATGTTTTTTAAAACAATTATTTGAATAGAACATCAAATAGTATTATTTATTGATTAGTTTAGGACATTTATAGCCATGGTCTAAGGGAGGGCCAGGGGGCCTCTAACCAACTCCGCCCTCCCCCTACACACAACTTCTGCCCCCCTCCCCACACACACACAAATTTCCCTGGATTTTTTTTTTTTAATATACATTAAATGAATAAATAATAAATTATTAAAATTCAATTTAAAAACATAATTTTTTGTTTGAGAAACAATTTATTTGCACTATTACAATTAAAATCGGTGAATGCTCCTATTATATCAAAAACAAGCAAAAGTTTTGTTTTGTTCTTTTTAAAGGTTGTACTTTACTTGTTTGTATTTTCTTAAAGAATGATTGTGAATTTTATTGTTTTTACATTATTTTGGCAGGTAATATTATAAATAATAACCATATTTAATAAAGAGAAATATGATTTTGGAAAAAGTCTTAAAATTCGTTGCCACAAAACTGGATTTTCTAGAAAACAAGGTTTTGTTTAATTCAAAGATCTTGTTAAAAACAAGAAGAAATAATATGGCAAGCAAATTTAAAGGAAAAACATTGTTCAATAAGAATTATATGTTATTATAATGAGTAACTGTCCACCTTATTATGTCAATGACTATATTAGTCTTAATCTACTAAATAATACCATAAAGATATTGAGTGTTAAAATGTTTTAAAAACATTTCAAAATTTATAATTTTTAAAATTGTGAAAAGATCTCAGTTTTGAGTGCTTACTTTGAAATAAGTAAGCACTCAAAACTGAGATATTAAGGGTGCTATTTTTGGATTCCTTAAGTAAAAATCTATTGGGATACCAAATTTTAGGCAATTTCTCAATTACAATTTCAAAGATACTATATGTCAAAGTAGCTTTGTAGTTGTTTCAGACTAAAACGCTGAGTTAGCATTATTTCAAATGATGATATCTCTACAACCCATGTACATTTTCAACAAAAATTTTTGCAGTTATTATTTTTTTAATATGGACTGCAAGTGAGGTAAATATGAACAAATTCTGAGATATAAGGGTGTCATGGTCTGGATAATTTCATATGGAATGACCCAACAACCAACCATATGTGGTGTCCAAGCTCTATGCTTATGAAGCAATTTTCTACTTATTTCACAAAGAACTAACACTTTCCCAACATGAAAATTGATTTATATTCAAATTTCAAATTCAATTTTTTCACTTTTAAAAAAAATTTATCTTTTTATTAATTAAACTTTCTTCTTCAGGGCTTGGTTGATTAAGGTCTTTTCAATCAAATCATTAAAAACAACAAACTTTTTAGCTAATTTGATATTATTTCGTTATTTAACATATATTTAACATTATATTATAATATTTATTTAACATATACTTTAACATAACATTTTTAAACTTGTAAAATTCAATGCTTTTGTTAAAATAAATGAAATCAAACATATAGAGATAGAGAACAATATATATATATATATATATATATATATATATATATATATATATATATATATATATATATATATATATATATATATATATATATATATATATATATATATATATATATATATATATATATATATATATATATTAAAACTTTATATGTACTCGCTGACTTTAATATCCCTCTTCCCTCCTATTTGTATACACTCATGTTTTGGGGTAACCAAAATGTAGCCCACTCCCATACCTGCATATTTACTTTATGGAAGACCCTCTTGTGGCAATCATTATTTTTAAAGTTTGACAAGTTATCAAAACAAAAAGAAATTAAGTTTATCAAAAATGTTTTATTCAAGTGAAAAAGAAAAAAGCACTGCAAGGTCATTAATTTATTAAAAAGTTAATTAAAACTTTCCTTTCAAATTGACTGTCATTTCTTCGCTTAAAGCCTTTCAGCACCATTAATATTAAATTTGAAAATCACACTTTTATTCTTTATAAATGTTGTTATACAAAAGTTTTTACAAAATTAGGTTATTATAAAAAATAGTTTGATAAATTAATTGTAAGGGAGAAACGTATTAAACTCATTTTATAACAATAAAAAGAAAAACCATTTTTTACTGTAAATGACAATTTATAGACAATGATATAAAAAATTCTTACATGAACAGTCTCTCTAATTCTATAAGTTGCATCTTCAGCAAGGTTCCCACAAATCTCATCATTAAGCTTGGAAATGCCAATAGACTCTACCCAAACATCTAAACACTGTTTTGGAATAACAGTGTATCGTGAACTTGTTCCACTCATAACATCTTTAATTATTTGTTAAATTTTCTAAATAAAACATATAATTTGTAAAACTATTTTAAAAATATTAAAACTTCCCAAGATATTGGAGTTACAAAGTACCCTGTGTACATGAACTTTATTTTGGTTAAAACATATACATACATACATACATACATACATACATACATACATACATACTTGGATGCATACATTATGTATGTATACATACATATATCAACTTGTTTCTCCACACAGCAGCCTTCGTCAAGGTTCATGTTTTGTAGTTAAGAGAGGGTTGTAACCACAATAAAGCCTCCTCGACTGGTCTTTTCAGCCTTTGAGAGTTGAATAGTCACATACACACGTATATAAGTTAGAAAAAACTTGTGCTTTTCAAAGTTTTTTTTTTATACAGGTGTTTTTACTAATTTATATATATATATATATATATATATATATATATATATATATATATATATATATATATACATATATATATACATATACATAAATATGGGACTTTTTACAAACCCATGCCTGTTCTACAACTAATAAACTTTACAAACGCCTTAACTATTATGACTTATTTTAATTTATTAAAATTCACTAAATAAAATATAGACTTTGAAGTTAATGATTGTAACTATTTTTAAATTGTGCCTAAACTATTTTTGTAAAACTTTGATTATATTCCTGATAAGGTAAGAAAAACTAAATAGTTATGATCAAGGAACTATTAAGTTTTGACTAATTTGTTATATCACTGCAATGTCATGTTTGCAGCAATTTATAAGTTTATATTATTACTTGCATTTTAATTCCCATCACATTTTATACAAAAAATTATAACCCAGAGCAGTATAGTTTACTTAGTGCAATCAAAACAGTGTCAGCATTATATTAAATTACCTAAAAAATGACATAAAAAATTTAAATTGATAGGGCACATTTTTTGTGCAATAACTTTCAAAATCATTCAAAATGCAGAAAATATAATATTTTACTAGAAAAATGTAATTAGACATTTTACTTTAAATATAAATGAAGTGTTCCAGGCACAGTTAAAAATTCATCAATTCTCTCGCTATTTATATACCATTGTATTTGCCAAGATGATGATTCGAAGAACGTGAGGTGTGACTTTATTAAGACGAGAAAAGAAACCATGATCTTAGACAGAGATTAGGAATAGTGAATGTATCAAATAAGATTCCTCAGAGAAAATTCAGGTGATTTGGGTTTGTCGCACAATGACAATACTGTCACACAATTGTCACAGTATTGTCGCACAATGACAATACTGATAATTAAAGTATCAACATTTCGATAGACAGCTTTAGGAGAAAAAGGTAGAAGAAAGCTAGCAGACAATGAGTTATTTTTTGTCAAACATGGCCCATGTCAAATATTATCTCCAGTCACATAATATGCTGAGCATATTAAGTGACTGGAGATTTCACAAAAACACTCAAAATGATTTTTCCAAGCAATAGGGTAGATTTTTCTGGGCAGAACAGTTGAAGCAATTCTTAATAACCAGATGCTTTTTATAATGTTAAGCTGTTTTACAGATCAAGACAGTATTTTTATTGTGATACTGCCATTTGGAAGAGTATCATTTAAGTTAACAAGCTTTTTCTAGTACCTATAAATCCCTTTTGATAGTATTTTTAATTAAATTGTGATTTTCAAATTAGAGTTTTTTTCTCCTAAAAAAATTGCTTTTACTACAGTTAAAAAGGGTCACTTCTTCTAATAAAAGATCAGTTTAACATTTAACATGATCAGGATAAAAATTTATAACTAATCTCATTAATGTGATTTGAATGAATCTTACAATATTTCCAATAAACAATTTACTTTTTGATGAATACTTATTTTTCAAACAATTTAGTTAATTCACTTTTTCTTTTTTTCTCTGTGAAATTTTTGTTCATTTAAAGATTAAGATTGTAAATATTATTAATTTAATTTATTCATGTTTAAGTATATAATAAGGTGGCGTTTGAAAAATATTTTAAAAAAGAATCTGCTCTCTGCCTACCTATTTGTATTTTTTATATCTCAAAATTTTTTTGGTGTAGCTAAATAAATTTGATCAAAAGTGTCAACCAGGGTGGTTAAAGAAGTGAAATCATAGAGCATAAAAACTATGGTTAACAAATAAAATTATTTTCAAAAATTTCAGTCCTTTAAAATATTAAAGATTTTATTAAAGATACTATTACTCTTAATATTTTCTTTCTTCCTTTTTGAAAATATTATTAAAAATATTTTTTTTAATTATTAGTTATGATTTAATTATTCAATTATATATTATTATTAAAAATACAGCTTTTAAATAATAATAAATAACTATTAAATATTAACGCAAATATAAAAAAATATACTGAACAAATAATAATAAAATATATATTTCACTAATTTCCTTAAAAATAATAAATAAGTCAAGTGATAGTATAACTAATGGCATATACTTTTTTAAAAACTTATATAAAAAAGTCAATGTAAAAACTATATGAGTGAATTAAAGAAAACATAAACTATTTCATATTGTATTTTCTAGTAAAACAGAAATAAACATTAATATAAAAATTTTTGAAGTTCATTTTAAAATTTCTTAATCACTTAACCAACCAAGAGCTTTAACATTCAAAGTTGTTCCAGCAATTACATGAACATTTAGCTCGGCTTGATGCGCATCTTCCTGTTTAAAGAAATCAACAAATGCATTTCCTGTAATTTCGCCTGTGTCAAGATTTTTTAAAAGAACAACTCTTTTTACTTTAGCAAATTTTGAGAAATGTTCATAAAGAACATTTTCATTGCACGCTTCATGAGGTACTCCTTGAACAAAAACAGACAAAGACTTCTGAATATTTTGTCTTGTTCTTGGATCAACTCGTGTAACTGGATACTGAACAGAATTCAAACTATGAACACTGTCAATAACATGCTGAATGAGACTGCCTCCACTCTTAAATGTAACAAAAGCAAAGTTTACATTACGTTTCGTCTTTCTAACAGTACCTTTATAAATAAGATTAACAAATGCAATTTCACCAAAAGATTTGAAATGATCAAGTATATCTTTTACACATATGCTATCAGGTAAATCGTGAATAGCAATAGTATTTAAGGCAGACAGATTGCTGACTCCTTTATTGATGCCTTGATTATCTACATCTTTAATGTCAAATAAAATATTATTACTTTCGACAGATCTAGTCTTTAATGCCTTCATGTAACTTTCTTCATCATTAAAAGTTATAAATCCAAATCGATATTCACCAGGCACTTGCTCGTTGGAAACATATTGATTCAAACGTGGAATGTCAACTGCTTTAACCTTACCGAATTGAGACATTAAACTTGACAAAAAACTTTTGTCATGATTAAAAGACTTGCTACCTATGAAAATTTTATTTTTATTTGAAAAATGCTTTCGTTGGTTATAAGGAGTCTCCTCAGATGTTACTACATTTTCACCAAGATCTGCATTTGGATTAGATACTGAAGAAAATCCGAGTCTGAAGCATTTCAAACCAAAACCATTTTTAGCAAAAGCTCTTACACAGCTCAGACCTCGTGTGGTAGTCATGTTTAAATGAACAATTGGCCGAGATAATTTAACCTAATATTTTTGCACTTATACTCGGTTAAACTCGGCGAGTATAACCGAGTGTAAGGTTAAATTATCTCGCACATTTGTAATAAAGCATTTGTAATTAAATCTCGCACATTTGTGATAAAGCACTGTTTTATCATATCATATTTATCAGTATGTACAAAAGATGAATATTTATTGATAATAAAAAAGTGTCAAAATATAACATAATAAAAATCTTGTAGAGAAGAGTGAGGAAAAGTAGAACGCGGGAGAAATGGTTTCAGGGCCGGCGCGAGTATGTGTCACGTGGGGCTGGGGTGGGGGTAAGGGGTGCCATTACAACTTTTGTCGACTTGATAAAAAAAAAAAGGTCCTCGATTTTTAAAATTTGTCGACTCTATATCGACTTTTGCCAACTGACTGTTGTGGCCTTGTTTGTGCCGATAAAGATTTAGTGTTGGGGGGGGGGAGGGGCGTGACACCCCCATGCACCCCCTATCGCCGTCCCTGAAACGGATATCTCAAAAATTTCAATTAGGAGAAGTCCCAATTTAATGTTATTTAATGTAAACAAGTAGAATTCTTTCCATCTATTTAGCAGGCGTCGTTTTATCCATGTGTGAGGTAAAAACCACATTTTTGAAAAATACCCCAAAAAAATAATTTTTTGTGGTGTGAAATGGAACAAACAAAATTAATTGATCTCTCGTTTCTCCAGCAGCACTTTTTTATAATTATATTGTCAAAAAAAAACCATATTTTTGAAAAATACCCCTACTATTCTCACTTTATCCCAATGACACGGATCCTCTAAAATCAAAAATATATATACTTTATTATAACCTGCTCTGAATTCAAGGTAATGGAATCAGTGCTCAAAATGATGCTTTATTTCTTATAACTTATTTGGTGTAGTACATACATTATGTTAAAGTAGCATTAAAATTATTCTATAAATATTTTTTAATGACACACTTTTCCCTACTTACCCCTAATTATTTATATTTAAAACTAACTCACAATTTTAGCTTTAGATAACACATATTATTTACCTTTGAGACATTTTTGTATTCGTGGCGTGGTCGGCGTGGCGTGAATTAGAAAGTAACTAAAAGATTACTTCTTTGTAGTTTTTGGTATCTAGGAGCTCTAAAAATATAAAAAAAGTTTATGGACGACTAATGGGTAAATTATTAAGACTTTTAGAAAGAGGAACGAACCCGGAGTGCTTAGATATAATGGCGGCAATGATTTTGGGACTTAGGGACCGCGTATTTTGTTTTTGTTTTTTGTTTTTAATTTTTTTGTTCTTTAATCTTTACAAATTCGTAATATAAAATAGAATCTTTACAGAGTAAGTAAAATAAAAAAAAAATCACAAGGTTACGTTATACAAAAAATATATAAAATAAAACTGTAAAGTATTAGAAATTAATTCAAAGAACACGGGAAGCTTTCAGATGGTCTTGTCATCACAAAAACCGCTATGCGTAACTAATATTTTTAAGTACTTTAATTTGAAATAAGTTTATATTTAAAAAATAATGTTATCAATTTCGGCAGAATGAAAATAATAATGCAAAATGCAAAAAAAAAGTTTTTCTTTTTTTTTCATTTTTACTTTACTATTACAAAAATATTTAAACAGTTTAAGCTTTAATATTAATTTAAATAATTTTTTTTCTTTTGATACCTACCAGCAGAGTGGCGCAGAGGAAGCGTGCTGGGCCCATAACCCAGAGGTCGGTAGATCGAAACTACCCTCTGCTATGGATATGCTTTTACGGAAAAAATTTTATTTAAATTTAATTTCGAACATAATCAATTTGATTATAGTATATTTCATATATAAAATAACATATTTTATAGCATTTAAAGACAATAATTTAAAGACAATAAAAGGTGATGAAATTTCGCAAACCAAATCAATGAATCAAAATGTAGTCATTGTCTTGCAATACCTGTCTGTTGATGCATTTCTAGATATAAGAAATTAATTTATTCTCGGACTAAAATAAAAAAACAATTTTTTTCAATCGTAAAATGACCTTAGCAGCAGAAGAGACTTTCGATTTACCGACCTCTTATCAGTAAATCAAAAAATTTGTTATTATACACTATTCTGATACTAACATTGTTAGTATCAGAATAGTACTATTCTGATACACTATAGTGTATAATAAAAAACTTTTTGTTAGTAACAATACTGTTTGCAAAGCCGTTCCAAAAAGGTCTCTTATGAAGGGTATTTTACGTATTTTTTTCTATTTAAAGACACTAAAAAAATGGTCCTCAATATGAGAAAATTTGACAACTGCAGCTTTGAGGGGGAAGAGGGCACCCCTACACCCCTCTCTTTTCCCCCCCTCACCTTCGAGATGACCCCCACTGTTAGTGTGGTTTATATATAATTTAGTATAAATCTTAGAGTACCATTAAAAAAAAACGTTAGTCTTCTACGCAATCACAGGTGAATTTTCAACCGCAAGAATAAACTTTGATAAACACGTTTTGGAACTAATTTTTCCAATATACACTTTAACAAAACTTTTCTGCCAATGTGCCATATTAAAATTATATTAGTATATCTAAAAATTATATAAAAACAAAAAAAAAAACGTAAAAAAATTTTAACGTAGCAGAGGGTAGTTTCGATCTACCGACCTCTGGGTTATGGGCCCAGCACGCTTCCTCTGCGCCACTCTGCTGATCGTACTTATGAAAAACATAATTATATCATACACATTGTTATGCAATTTATGAGTGTTTAACTTAGAAAACAGAATTTAGCTTTACCTTTTATTTTTCGTTTTAATTTAACAAAATTAAAATGGTTTTAATTTAACAAAATTAAAATGGCACTTTATTTCTTATTATCTTCTGCTACAACTAAAAAGTTTACAAACTGATATGTTTAATTACAAATGGAAAAAAGCTGTCACGCCGCCTGGGACATCAATCCTGATTGGCGCCCTTATTTATCAAATTTTTCGTATATTATATATAAAGGACAAATATATATATATATGTATATATATATATATATATATATATATATATATATATATATATATATATATATATATATATATATATATATATATATATATATATATAATATATATATATATATATATATATATATATATATATATATATATATATATATATATATATATATATATATATATATATATATATATATGTATATATATATATGTATATATATATATATATATATATGTATATATATATATATATATATATATATATATATATATATATATATATATATATATATATATATATATATATATATATATATATATTGTAACACCCCCCATCCCCATCAACGGCAAATTTGACCCTTAGTGGGCAAATGTGACCTATTTCGACTAGTTAGTCGGCAAATGTAGACCCTGTCGATAGGTTAGTCGGTAAAGTCAGTCGGCAAATGTCGTTATGGCAGTCGGTAAATTTTTTGCTGCTGTAACAACTGTCTTTTTGTTTTTTGTCACTTCTAAGTAAAATTTTTTTGTTGATTTTAGGGGGATGTTAAACAGGGACCCGTTTTGACCTAAAGCATCTATTGTTGTTTTGTAGTACTGAGACATTTTGTTGTCCCAGTGTTTTGGAAAATTGTTCTGTTTCAAAAAGTTCCAACTTTGGTTTTGGTTCGTATATTTTATAAATGAACTTCCAATCAATACTTTGAAAAGTAGTAGCAATCGTGAGTTTGGTCCTCTTCGCATTCTTTCAATTGAAAAAGTGTTTTGAGGCGAAGTGCAAGACTTTGCTCCTTCGGAGATAAAATTCCGAGACCCCCGCTTTTGACGGGTAAAAAAGTGTCTCTCGTTTGACCGGATTGAAATTGGTCTTTTGCCACAGATTTTCAAAAATGGCTCTATGCAAACGGTCTATTACCTAATCAGGAGTAGGCAACACGTTTGATAGAAACCAAACTTTGGACATTGCTAACGCATTTATCAACATAGTCTTTCCCCTAAGTGACAAAGTACGTAGTCCCAGAAACCTGAGTTTTTTCTCTATTTTGTTTAGAGTTACTAACCAGTTGAAACTGGTAGTATTACTCAGTCTGGTGTAAAACGTAACACCTAAAATTTTAAAACCGGTGTTATTGCTCCACTCTATGCTGTCCATTTCAGGGTAAATTTTAGGATCAAAACTCCCAAGAGCGAGGCCCTTGGTTTTTGAGGCATTGATCACTGAACCACTTGCTTTTTCAAATAGTTTTACTGTTTCGAAAAAAAAGCGGACTGATTTTACGTCCCTGGCAAAAAAGTTCGAATCGTCTGCGTATTGCTGCAATTTAAGCGGTTTTGGTGTTCCTGGTAATGGGAAACCCTCTAATCTGCTGTCCGCTCTGATCACCAAAGCGAGAGCCTCGGCTTTTGTGATTATTTTGTAATCAGCGCCGATTAAGGATACGGGCTTTCAATTTTTGCATTCAGTTAGATCTCCTTGTTTGGGAATCAGTAAAACTATTGATTTTTTCATTAACATTTCTACTTTAACATTTCTACTTTAGGAATGTAAAAAACATTGTTAAAAGTCATAACAAAATTGTTAAAAGTCATAACAAGAAATAGTGTAAAGTAAAAAAATAAATAGTGTAAAGTAAAAAAATATGTAATGTAATTTAAAATGTGTCTAATATATTAGTTTTATTATATTGATGGTTCTTAAAAACGATAACAATGAAAAGATTAGATCTTATCCCAAATATACGTGAATTAGGAGTTGATAAATTAAAATTATGGTATGATTTACTTAATGAAATAAAAAATACTGAAAAAATTCGCAAAGAAAACTTAAATAAAGTTAAGCTTGCTTTAGTTATATTTATTTCAAAGGTGAAGAAAAAACTAAAACAATGTGGACGAAACTATGATACATTTATACAAAAAGAAAATCGTTGGGTTCAAAGAAATCTTATGAACAATAAAAATAGCCATTTTGGTTTTGGAAGACCCCATAAACAATGGAGTGTACTTGGAGAGAAAAGCAAAAAAAAAAAAAAATTAAAGAATTAGCCACTGAACATCATGAAGCTCTATTTTTAGCTTCTGCAAAAAGTGCAAATGCTGCTGGAGAAAAAAAAAAGCCTCTGTTTTAAAAAACAATATGTAATGTTTTAGAGATAGAAATATATATAATGTTTTAGAGATAGAAATATATATAATGTTTTAGAGATAGAAAAAGTTGATAAAACTTTAGATAAAAACTTTCCCATTAACATGAGTGTACCCAGTGGGCATCGAACGTCGATTGGACGCCTAACAGACGTCCAAAACAGCTCCGTCCGTCCGTTTGAAGAACCGGACGTCCAACAGGCGTCCAAATGTTGTCTGAGTTCGTCCTGTTTCAAATCATAGTCATAGTTATGACTATGTTCAAATATAACACTGACTTAGCGCCATGGTGTTTGGGAAACATTGTTTCCCAAACACCATGAATTATTAATATATAATATCATTCAGGAACAATAATATACTTAATTCAAAGCTTTTATTACAAAGAAGCTGCTTCTTAAAATATAATGTTAAAAAATAGGATGAAAAAGTTTACAAAATTGTATTTACCTCTCAACGACGATACTCGAAGAAAACGTGAACAAAAGTAAAAGATGGCGACGTCTCTTCTCGCAATATTTCAAATCCAATATTTTTTTCGATGCTCTGAGGCCCTGAATGGGGTGTATTTTCAAAACCCCATTTTGCCCCACTACCTCATTTTACCCTAGTTTCCCCTACAATGTGCAGAAACTATTTTTGGAGTTTTTTTTTATTGAAAACAATCTTTACATTATGAGAGATCATTAAATTTTTCCGATATTTTACAGATTCTTTTCAAATAACAATATTCATTTTCTTCTGGACAAAACAAGTGCAACTCCACAAAATGTTGACTAAGCTGTATTTCGCTATCTATATTTCGTGGCGAATTTCGCTATCAATATTTATTTTATTTATGTATTTATGTATTTCGCTATCAATATTTCGTGGCGAATTCGCTATCAATATTTCGTGGCGTCAATTTCACCCGAAGGGTGAAATTGACGGATTAAATATTCTTCCAAATATGCCATTTTCTTTACAAGCTGATGAGTTTTCAAATTTTTTTCTTTGGTATATAAATTATTTTTTTTAACAACAAATTTAAAATAAAAAAACGCTCTGCAAAAAACGTTGTAAACAACGAAAGGGTTTGTTGTAAACAACGGTTGTAAACAATTTGTTGTAAACAAGGTTGTAAACAATTTGTTGTAAACGGTTGTAAACAATTTGTTGTAAACAAGGGTTCGTTGTAAACAACGAAGTGGGTTCAAGTTTTTACTTCTTTATCAATTTTATTTTTCATTAAATTATATATAAATTGTATAAAATATTTTTCATTAAATATATAAATATGACTTGTAAATAATACTATATTATATAGTGAAAATTCCAGAAGTGAAAATGTTATCAAAATAGTTAATTGTTTTTTTCATTGTTATTGTGTGTATTTAATTTTGTAAAATGTGTACTTGAAAAACTGAGCTTAAAATTGAAGCAAATACTTAAAAAACAATGATTACTAGTTATTTTCTTTTTCTATTTTTCAAGATGTAAACGTTGGAGAAAAAAAAGGAGTGCTGTTCTAGATCTATCTAAACAACAAAATTTAGAATTGTCAACACAGCAATCTTCTAATATCAATTTTGTTTTATCTACGTCAAATTTTTATGCTGATAAACAATATTTAATTTCACCTCAAGAATTAGTTAATGTTGATGAAAGTAATATTCAGACTCAACATATTCAATATGGTGAACACTATCAAAAGAGCAGTTCTGACTCAGAATCAGATCATTCCATTGTGGCTGATACAATTCTTCAAAATTGCCTCAAAAGTTTTATTAATATATGTCATAAATGGCCTAATCATCTGGATTAATCACTTTTATTCAAGAAGAACATATACGATTAAAGATAGAGCAGCAAAGTAGCAATACTTTAAAGTATTGCTTTGAAGTTGTTTAATAAGGTATAATATAAAGTTGCAGTGATAAAGATGTGTGGTAGTCAACAGAAGTTTTTAAAAATAATTTTCTTTTTTTTTCTTTATTTCTTTTTATTAAGTTTATTGTTTAATGAAATCAAAATCAATAAGAAAATCAAGTTCATTATTTGAAAGTTGTGGTAAAAATTATCATGATTTTTACAATTACATTTACATACTTAAATTTTCATTTTAATATTTAATATTGTTATGATCATATCTATGATACATATCATGCAAATCTTGTTATTTTTACCTGATATCAATTTTTTCTTCAATTTAGCTCAGTCAATGTTGAATGATCAAGACTGAATATAATGCAGAATTTTTATCAGGAAGGCAGTACAAGCCTGGTATAAATTATGAATTATGTTTAATAATTTAGTAGAATCCTGTTATTATTATATTGTTTGTGAATATATATATATATATATATATATATATATATATATATATATATATATATATATATATATATATATATATATATATATATATATATATATATATATATATATATATATATATATTCATTCTTTGAAGGTAAACTGTATTAGATATTATTTTATATTATAGATATAATATTATATACATATTATATTAAACATATTATATATTATGTTCATATTATATTATAGAAATAGATAATATTACATATATATAAACTCATTAATTTCTAAAACAATATTTCTAAGGAAATTTAATACCCTCGTTATCAAGTATATTCAAGTAAAATAAATTTTTAACGTTTAATATACTTGATAACAAGGGTCTAAAAATTCCTTCAAAATATTTTAATAGTAATAATTATTTTACAAAGATAAAAGAGTTAAATCCATAAAAAGAAACTTTTATTGAATCACACACACACACACACACACACACACACACACACACACACACACACACACACACACACACACACACACACACACATATTGATACAGTTTTTTAATTAACAATATTTTAATGTTGCATAATACTTTTTTAGGAGTATTTGATCGATACAAAACTACCAGAGTAGTACGATTGAAAAGATGATGAACGATTTCTAAAAGGGTTGTTTGATGCAAACCTTTGCGAACATTCGACGAAAGAAAATAAAGTTAGGCAAACTTCAAATGTTTATAGTTAACTCAAATTTTAGCTCAAATTTTTTTGTATTTTATTTTGGATAGTTAATTATTATTTTATAATACATTTGTTTTGCTAACTTTGTGTGTTAATATTATTTTTGTTAGATAATTAGGCTAAATATTGTCTAATTTTGAATTTAAAAGTATTTTATCCCGATCCTTACATACTATTATATTAACGCATTAACATGTTAGGATTGGGATACAATCCCAATTGCAATTTTGTGAAGTTATTATAATCAATATTAAAGATTATTTAGTAATGATTATTAACAACCAATGGAATTCTAGATCGATTTGTAGGTCAACTGAACGACCAAATAAAGTCTAAATGGGACGTCCGGAAGACGTCTTACCGACGTCCTTTTATTAGCAAGACGTCTAACGGACGTCCGTTGGACGTCCATATGACGTCTACACTCTAAGTCCATTAGAAGTCTGTTTTGGACAGATGTCTTGTGTTACATTTGGTACGTCCATTGGACGTCCTATCAACGTCTTTCTAGACGTCCGTTCGTCCAAAAAAGACGTCCTATGGACGTCTATAGGACGTCCCCATGCCCACTGGGTAGAGGATGCTCTTGCATTAAAAATGAAAAATGATCTCAGCGATAAACAAATCAAATGATCAGAAACTCAGCCCTTGTACACAACGTACATATTTATCCTACCTTGCACGATATTTTCGTGGAAAAATTGAAATGCTATCCTGAGAATATACATTTTTCTGAAATTTCTGCAAAGTGTTCTCTTCAAAGCATGTTAGACCACACTGTGAGTAGAATAACAGAAATGATTGATATGCCTAATTTTGGTCAAAGTGATGAAATATTTGGAGTTTTATATGGAAAGATTGGTTTTGATGGAGCATCAAGCCAAAGTATTTATAAACAGAAATACGAAGTATAGAACTTAAGCATGAAGAAAATCTTTTCAGTACAGCTTTTGTGTCTTTATTGCTCAAAGTAGAAGATGGCGAAATTTGGAAAAATAAAAATACTTCAAGCTGTCACTTTTGTAGACCTCTTCTCTACAATATAAAAAAGAGAGTCCAATTTTATCCAGAGAAGAAGAATCAGGTCTAAAAAATCAAATAAATACCTTAAAGACGTTTTGCAAAGTTTTTAATATTGCAGGAAGAATTTTGACATTTAATATCAGCTATAGGATTGATCTTACAATGTTTGATAATAAATTAGTTAGCGCACTTACAGAGACAAAATCCACTCAATCCTGCAATGTGTGCAATGCTAAACCCAAGGAAATAAACAATATTGATTTATTAAAAGCAAAAACTGAAAATGACTCGGCCTTGGGGCTCGGAATTTCAGCTTTGCATTGCTGGATAAAATGCTTGGAGTTCATTCTTTATTTGAGTTATAAAATTGAAATTATAAATTATATAGTATAAGCCAAAAACAATTAAGGAAAAACTATCTGTAGACTTAAAAAAAAAGAGATTCAGGTACTCTTCAGAGAACGGTTAAGCCTATACGTTGATATGCCTAAAACTGGGTCTGGAAACACGAATGACGGTAACACTGTCAGAAGAGCTTTTAAAAATAGTGAAGTTTTTCTGAAATTACTTAAGTTGATTGTGATATAATTAAAAGATTGCATAACATTCTCATAACCATATCTTATGGATATCCTATTAATATCAATGAATTAGATTTATAATGCACTGAAACAGCTAAACGTAGAGTGAGTTTATACAACTGGTATGTTATGCCTCCTACTGTACATAAACTGCTACTGCATAGTTCTTCTATATCAAATAAATTACCTTTGCCAATCGGTGTATATTCGGAAGATGCACTAGAGAGTTTAAATAAACAGATAAGAAATTCTAGACTTAAGCACACGGCAAAAATATCAAGGTTAAAAGCAATGATGAATCAGATGCACTACCTTCTAGTAAGATCAGATCCAAAAATATCAAGCATATCTTTTAGAAAACATAAGAGCTATCGAGGAAAACCGTTACCAGATGAAGTTTTTAAATTAATTGTAATGTAAATAATAAATTTACTGTAAAAAAATACAGTATTTTTTCTCTATGTATCAACATCCTTTAAAAACCATTTTTATAAAAATATCAAGTAGAGTAATATATCAAAATTATGTGTTTGTCTTGAAGATTCTAAAAACTAAAAAAAAATATTTTTGTACGCGTATAGTCACCTTTAATACGCGTAAGCGCATTTTACGCGTCGAAGCTGCGCGTTAAAAACTATTAACAAATTTGAAATCTTTGACTTAAAAATTATTATTTTAATATATAACATTATTTATTTACGATTTATGTCAATTTTTATTTAATTTTTGCCGTTTTTTGATTGTCCTGAGTCACTGTGCGGCGTGACAGCTCTCGGCGGCCCTGCGCAAATGAGGCTAATTCTATTTTCTCTCCAAATTGTATACTTTTAATTTTTTTTTCCATTTGTAATTAATAAATGATGTATTATATATTTAACATTTTTTTTTTCAACAAATTTTTTTTTAATTTTTTTTTCTATTTGTAATTAATATAATATAATATATATATATATATATATATATATATATATATATATATATATATATATATATATATATATATATATATAATATATATATTTATATATATATATATATAAAGTTATTAATGTATAGAGCCAACTTTTTTTGCTCTGCCCCATAAAAGCATCATAAAAATTTACTTTTTCGATCTCCCTTAATTGTCATGATTAGAGTTTTTTTTTAAACCATTAATTGATTATGTATAGTATTATATACTAAAATAATTCTCAAACTATAAGCTTTAAAAATGGTACTTAAAAAACGTAGTACTGTCAAACGCCAATGAGTATAAATACGTCAAACAAATTGTTTAAAATTTACTTCGGCTTATCAAAAATCTTTAAAAAGAGGTCACGATTCCGAATATGTCCCAGTAAACTTTATTATATTTTGGAAAAAGAGTTAAAGCACTAATAACACCTTACGGACGATAACAACTTTAACAAACAGGGTATCAAACCTAAATTGTGCGGTGCATCTTTTGTACCCACACACATATAATTATTGTTACAAACAATAACTTTTTAGATTATAATATAGCATAATTAAATTGCTGTATATTTGAAAAAACCATAAAATGTATAATACTTGATATTAGCGGTAACTAATAGAATTCTCATCAATAATTATTTTCAGTTTACTTGTATATTTTGATCTGCAGCCGTAACGGAGCGTTTGTCAAAAATTTCATTACAACATTTCTAAGTAAAGAAATGACAAAAACTTTATTTAAATTTATTTAAAAAAGACTAAGACTAAAATAAAACAATTTTATTTAAAAAATTATTTTTTTAAAGAATTTTTTTTATTAATTAAAAAAAAGAACTTTTTGACAAATGCTCCGTTAAGCTTAACGGAGAGATGAGAATACGGCCACTGGTGATACGCATTTGTGACTTAGTTTTATATTATTATTTGTAAGTTTAACAAAGACTGTGAAATCAGTACTTCTAAAGTTTATAACATTTGGTTTTTGATACCTTAATTTGAAATGGGACGTTGTAAGCGTTTAACGAATGAAAAATTAGCAGTAATCAAAGCATACAAACATACAGGTTTATCTAATCGTGAAATTGCAAAGAAAATTAAAAGATCTCTAAAAGTGGTTAATTAAAGTGTTTACTTCAAGATTGGCGTCAGTTATGGAGCTTATAAGGGAAGTGGTGGCAATCATAAAATTGATAATCGTACTAAACGAGTATTTGTACGTCGTGCTCAGCACATGACTTCATCTCAAATTCGTGCTGATTTACAATTACCTGTATATGTTCAACGTGTGATACAAATCTTACATGAAGATTCAAACACAGCTTGGAAAAAGCGTAAACCAAAACCAAAACTTACTGCTCGTCATAAAGAAATTAGATTACAATTTGCAAAAGAACATATGTCTTGGCGGGAAGAGTGACATCAAGTTCTCTTTAGAGATGAAAAAAGTTCAATCTAGATGATCCTGACGGCTATCAATATTACTAGCACGATTTTCGAAAAAAGAAAGAAACTCGTATGAGTCGTAACTTTGGTGGTGGAACTGTTATGGCTTGGGGGGATTTTTCGTTTGCGGGAAAACTTCCACTGGCATGGATTTCAACAAAAATGAATTCACGGGACTACATTAACTTATTAGAAATAAGTTTGCTTGAACTTAATGAGGAATTGATGGGTGAAAATTTCTTTTTTCAACAAGATAATGCTGCTATCCATAATTCAAAGCTTACAAAAACTTGGTTTAAAAAAAAAATATAGTTACGTAATGGAATGGCCCGCATGTAGTCCAGATCTTAACCCAATTAAAAATCTATGGGGAATACTTTCTAGAAAGATTTATGAAAATGGTAATCAATTTGAATCCACCTTGGAGCTGAAAACTTGTATCAAAGAGCTTAGAATGAAATATCTTTAGAAACTATTCAAAATCTTGTGACTAGTATGTCAAGTCGCATATTGAAGTCATTAAAAATTTAGGAGCAATACTAAATATTAAATGAGCGTAAAAACAAAATATTTTCTGTATTTTCTTGTATATAACCATGGAAGTATAAAACAGATGAAAGTTCAACTGCATTGAAATTCTTCGGGACTATGCTCGTAACCTTTTGTTTCGTAAACAATAAGAAAACGACATCAAGACTGTACTAAAACGCCTAATTTTAATACGTTGACACAAATAGGTACGTTTATAATAATTTAAAAATAAAGATTCGCCAATAATATTCAAGAAAAATATTAAAAATGGCGCAACAAAACGGCAAACAAAAACTTTTTTATAAACTTCATATTAAATGAATGGAGTACTACAAGAATGAATGGAGTTATGATATACAACTAATAAAACTTTAAACTTTAGTTAATTAGAAAACAATTTTTTTGAT